ATGCCACAAATTCAGCTTCCATTATTGATAATGTAATAAGCGATTGCTTTGCACTTTTGTAAGAAATTGCCTCACCGGTTAACATGAATACAAATCCTGAAGTGAACTTCCTACTGTCGAGACAATTTGCAAAATCAACATCTGAATATCCTATCGCTTCAAGCTGATTTGATCTCTTATATGTGAGCATATAATCTTTCATCCCTTGCAGATATCTCATTACTTTCTTTGTAGTTTTCCAATGTTCCATTCCTGGGTTGCTTTGGTATCTTCCCAGCATTGCAACTACAAAACTGATATCTGGTCTTGTACAGGTTTGAGCATATAATAGACTTTCAACTGTGCACCCATAAGGAATATTCTTCATTTGATTTTTTTCTAAGTCATTTTTTGGACACATGTTTTGACTGAATTTTTTACTAGTAATAAGTATATCATTGGCTGAGCAAAGCTACATATTAAATCTCTCTAAGATACGATTAATATATCCTTTCTGAGACAATCCTAATAATCCTTGAGATCTATCTCTGAATATCTCAATGCCAATAACATAAGCTGCCTCATTCATATCAACCATCTTAAAATTCTTGTTGAGAAATATCATGGTTTCGTGCAATAAACCAAGATCACTACTAGCAAGTAAAATATCATCCACATATAAGACCAATATAATAAACTTGCTCCCACTTACCTTCAGATATATACACTGATCAATAGTATTTTCTTTAAATCCGAAAGAAGTAATGGTATTATGAAACTTTATATACCATTGTCTAGAAACTTATTTAAAGTCATAAATAGATTTTAAGTTTACAAGCCCAACCATCTTTTCTTTTTTCTATGAATACTTCAAGTTGTTCCATATAGATTTCCTCATCTAGATCCCCATTCAGAAATACTATTTTCACATCCATCTGATGCAACTCAAGATCATAATGAGCTACTAATGTCATGACGATTCTCAATGAGTTATTTTTAGAAATAGGAGAAAAAGTTTCATTATAATCGATGCCTTCTTTTTTAGAAAAACCTTTGGCCACAAGTCTGGCTTTATATCATTCGATATTGCCCGTTGAGTCACGTTTTGTCTTAAAGACCCATTTACAATCGACTCTTTTACAATTATTGGGCAATTCAACAAGATCCCAAACACTATTATGGACCATTGATTTTAACTCTTCTTTCATTGCATCATACCATTTTTCAGAATCGTTACTTTCTATGGCTTGTGAAAATGATAAGGGGTCTCTTTTTATTCCTATATTATAATCTAATTCTTGTTGATATACCACATAATCATCAGAAATGATATATTTTCTTTTCCTTTGAGATCTTCTCAAAGCTACCAATTGTGATTGTTCTACAAGATCATCAGTGACGACATCAATATCATGTGAGAGTTCTTCAATGTTATTTTGTTGTTCACCCTCATCAATACTTTCATTGATTTGAGGAACAATAATTTCTTGAATAGGAGATGATATGAGAGAATTAACCTGAATCTCCTTAATATCAAAATTGATCCTCTGAGATTTTTCACTCCCACTGATTTCGCCATTTTCTATAAATTTTGCATTACCAGATTCTCTTATTCTCATACTATGATTAGGGTAATAAAATCTGTATCCCTTGGATTTTTCTGGATAACCAATAAAATATCATGAAATAGTTCTTGGATCCAATTTCTTTTCATGTGGATTGAATACTCTTATCTTCACAGGACATCCCCAAATATGTAAATGTCTTAGACTGGGCTTCCTACCAGTCCATGACTCAAATGGAGTTGATGGAATTGACTTACTAGGATTCCTGTTCAAGATGTACATAGCTGTCCTAAGAGCTTCTCCCCATATCGACTCAGATACAGATGAATAACTCATCATGCTCCTAATCATATCCATAAGAGTCGATTTCATCTTTCAGCAACACCGTTCTACTGTGGCACACCTAGTAATATATATTGAGCACAAATACCTCGTTGTTCTAGGAATCTAGCAAAAGGACCAATATTCTGACCAGATCCATTATATTTGTCATAAAATTCACCACCCCTATTAGATCTGACAATTTTAACTTTTTTAATCTAATTGTCTCTCGACCTCATTTATGTACACTTCAAGAGTATTAACGACTTGAGACTTTTCATGTATTAGATAAACATTGCCATATATGGACAGGTCATCTATAAATGTGATGAAATATTTTTCTCCACTAAAACAAGGAATATGGAGTGGTCTGCAGATATCAGTATGAATAATCTTAAGGAGTTCTTTACTTCTTGTGGCATTTTTTTTTATATATGTTTAGTTTGTTTTTCCTTAATGCAATCTATACAAAGATCAAAATCAGTGAAGTTTAAATGTTCCAAAATATTATCCTTCACTAATCTTTCAATTCTTTCTTTGGAGATATGCCCCAATTGTCTATGCCACAATATAGAAGATCTTTCATTATTGAAACTATGTTTCAATATAACACTTAATTGTAGGATCATTAATGTCTTTGCAAACTTAAGATCCAAATTAATTCTGTACAAACTATCACATATAATTTCAGAATCAACTTTTATTGAATAATAAAACATACTAAGTTTACCACTACCAAAAGAAAGATAATATTCTAACTCATCAATTCTAGATAGAGAAACTAAATTTCTAGAAATAGTACGAACATAACATGTGTCAACAAGATCCATCAGGTGACCCGTCTTTAAGCGTAGACGATAAGTTCCCACTAATATCACTTTCGCTTTAAGACGATTTCCCATAATGATGAATCTTTCATGTTCTTTTAGATTTTGAATTGAAAGAAATCCCTACATATTATTGGTAACATGAGTTGAAGCACCAGAATCAATCCACCAAGTATTAGAAGAAACTTCTGTAATGTTTGATTCGAAACATACAAAGGTCGAGTTAATACCTTTCTTTTCGAATCAAGTCTTGCGTTTAATGCAGTCCTTCTTCCCATGTCCTTTCTTACCATAAAAGAAGTACTTTATAGTAAATGTTTTCTTTTCATTAGTCTGTTTAACATTTCCAAACCCGGCAAATTTCTTTGATGGATAATGCTTTAATTTTCTTTTCTTATTACCAGCTCCTTGAGTAGTAGTCATGACATTATATGAACTTTCCTGCCTTAATCTCAATTCTTCCTAAACACACATGCTAGTTAACTTATTCAAGTCCCATTTATCCTTATTTGTATTGTAGTGAATCTTGAATGAGCTAAACTGATAAGGAAGAGAATTGAGAATAATTGCACGAGAAAAAACTCATCAACATTCATGCCTAATGTTTTAAGTTTTGCAGCTTTGTCAGCCATATTGAGGATATGATCCTGAATTTCTCGAGTGCTATCATACTAGTCGTAGTCAATTCTTTCATTAATGTGCCAGCCAATGACTTATCAGCAGAGTTAAATCTGTCTTCAATAATCTTTAAATATTCATTTGCGCTAGTGGTAATTGGTAATGAAGTCTTTATGTTATTTGCAATTGTTATTCTTATGAACATTAAACTAAGCCTATCAGATCTTTCCCAAGCCTTTATTTCATTAACTTGTTCTACATTACTTTCATCAGTCAAGTCTACAGGCTTTTCAATAAGCAATGCTAAATCAAGATCTAATACACCTAGTGTAAATTTCACATACTTTAACCATTCTGAATAATTTGATCTAGAAAATACAGGAACACTAGAAGCATAAGAATGTATGGGCGAAAGTACCATTGCAAAAATATAGAATAACATTAATGCTTTGAGTTTGTCAAAAATTGATGAACTATTAATATCATCTATATTACACATTTGGGTAAAATATTGACATATCTAGTGTTCACTCAAGAACATTTATGGAGGACTGATACAATCCTTATGGAATAGTGTTGTTACCTTTGGGTATATAATCTTAAACTACAAGGATATCCAAAACAGTATCATCCTACCCTATCACATAATTATTTGAATTAGATTATCCTTTAGGATTATCTAATTTTCTAATTATATATGTCATTGTGAATATTATTTTCTTAATATCATTTAAGACTAATTTTATAATATTATTTTATAAGTCATTAGTCTAGGTCACTTTAGTGGCTATAAGACCAATGCAATAACATAAAATAAAATTTAAAATATTCTATAAATGATAAAAATTTTATTGTAATTTATATCAAAAAAGTCTATCATTCCAGGCCACTTTGCCAACTACAAGTCAAATAAAACTTAGGGAGATTAATTATAAATAATATTCATCAATTTTTTTTAATTTATGCTAAGCAGTTCAATAATAGAATAACAATCATAATAATTATTGAACATTAATGCTAAGTAGTTCAATAATAAAATAACAACCATAATAATTATTGAACATTAATGCTAAATAGTTCAATAATAGAATAATAACCATAATAATTATTGAACCCAAAAGAAAACTTATATGATAATCATGATAGCATATAAATCATGTCTTCATGTGAAAAGTAAATATTATTTCATAATTTCAAATATATACATGTGAATAAGTAAATAAAATTTCAAGAACAATAATTGAATTTTGATTTTATTTACCACATGTATAATATGAGAAAACTATAAAACTAAATCATAATTTATAGTTAAAAAAATAAAGATGAATTCCAATCAAATAGTCAAAATAATTCATACTCCATTCTGTACCACAACATTGTTAGTCTTTCTAAATAAAAAGAGAAAAAAAAGTATCGAGTTTCTCTTTATAGATTAATAGCGATCTTGGATTAAAGACGATGCCTTACAGATCAAACAGAGATATCTGAACAGATGACATTAAAACGTACGTTAAACTAGATCTAAATATTTGATTTTAATTTTGACATAAAAATTATTTTCATATTTAATATAACATATTACAGTTTTGATGCTTAAACATGCATCTCATTCTGATTGGAATCGTAAGTTCTCTTCTTTTACGAGTTGAAAGCTTGACGAAAAGAGCCTTCTAATTGCATATACAACGTATAATACAATCAGCACACAAAGCGCACTCATACGAGGAAAGAAAACTGGATATTTGTGGCAACAGAAAGGAAAATAAAAAGTAACATCCACAACATAACGTTTTTCTCTCTCTCTCTGAGCAGCTCTATCTATCTACAACTCGTCTCTTTCTCATTCTAGTACCATCTAAGTGTCCTTTCAGCCTTCCATTTTCCTTTCTCTTTTGTCTCCTTCTATGAGCTTTATTCTACTTTACAATGGTGGCGAAGTGCACATCACCAGGCATGCTCGTTAGCACTGGTCACCTTGCCCATGAACAGCGTGAAGTACAACAGTATCAGTGTTCCCATACTTGACCTGCACAATTAAAATTCACACACATCAAGCCTGGTTCTAAATTCAAAAAGAAAAAAAAAAGGTGGATACTCCTCTTTAAACACAGTCAGATTCCACAACAGCTTTGATGACAGTCAAGTGAACCCACATATATTACATACTTTCCAGAAATTGAAGCTAAGTCTATCTATGCTGACCTGCAATAATAATATAAGCATAAAAATTATAATCATACTTCTATTATATAAAAAATTAATATTAATAATTAAAATTAAATAATCATACATCAAAGTTTAAATATACATATCTTTCGATTTCATTTAGAAAACCTTTATTTCATCTATAAATATAATGTTATGAACCAATTTGCAAGAAGAATTAGACTCATTTATACTATTTTCATATCACTATTATAAGTTTTTGAGAGGTGTTGTCTACTTATAGACGAAAGCAAAAGATATAAGATAAATAATTAAAAGAGTATCTCTCGTAAAGGTATCTCCTAATGAGTCCTATTATAAGAGAATTTTCTTTTGATTGATCGATAATCATAATTAGAATCAAATCATATCTAAGATATATCTTAAATAATTAAACAAAACAACATAAACTAATATTCTTATACTTGATCCATTAATTGATATGATATAAAAAAATAAAATTAAAATAAATAAAAGAAAATTTTATTTAAAAATAAATTTACTAAATTGGATTTTGAAACTTTTGAAAAGCATTTTACACATGCACATAAATTTTATAAAATGAGCCACTAAGTCTAATAAACACAATAATATTATATCGAGTCATAGTAATTACATATCATCAATATCATACTCTCTTTTATATACTATAATATTATTAGTTTTTTCTAATATAGTTTGTAATGACATATGTAATTTACCTTGTCAGAATAATCTATTATCACATTCACTTATAATATACATATATATAAATATAAATAGGATAACAGAAATAAATAACTTTAATTAAGTAAACAAAAAAATCAATAATAGTATATAACCATTGAGTATTTTATCTTGATATACCTAGAACCGCTAGAGTACTTATATTTGTTAGAGAAGAAAATTACTATAGTGTTATTACAAAATATCATAATTAGTCTAACAATTAAGCTGATCACACCAAATCTTGAGATAAAATATAACAACCATATGGTTTGATTTGTGATCTCAAAACATAACACAAATTCAATTTTTATTATTAATGATATATATATATATATATATATATATATATATATATATATATGTATGTATATATATACTTTTTAAGATAGTCCTCTTAAGATTTATATTTTAATATCTCAATACTAATAACATAAGTTGGCTTATTCATATTAACCATATTAAAATTATTAGTGAGAAACATTTTAGTTTCATGCAATAAACTAAGACCATTATTGATAAATAAAATATCATCTATATCTAAGACTAATGTAATAAATGTGCTCCCACTAACCTTCAAATATATATAATAATCAATGGTATTTTTCTAAAATTTGAAGAAAATAATTATATTATAAAACTTTATATATCATTGTTTAGAAACTTATTTAAAGTCATAAATAATTTTTTTAAGTTTACAAGCTCAACTTCCCTTTCCATTGTGAATCCTTCATATTATTATAGATTTTTTCATCTAGATCCTTATAAAACAATATTTTTTTCATGTCTATTTGAGATAACTTAAGATTATGATAAGTTACTAATATCATGACGATCCTCAATGAGTCCTTTTTAAAAATTAGATAAAATACTTAATTATAGTCGATGCTTTCTTTCTGAGAAAGATTTGTAGTCATAAGTATAACTTAATATCATTTGATATTGGCTCTTGAGTCAAGTTTTGTCTTAAAGACACATTTAAAATCAACTCTTTTATAATTATTGAACAATTCAATGATTTCCTACATACCATTCTAGTATATCAATTTCAACTATTCTTTTATTACATCATATCATCTTTTAGAATTGTTGACTTATAAAAATGATAAAGGGTCCATTTTGATTTGTATGTCATAATTTATTTTTTATAGATATACCACATAATCATCATAAATAGTAGATCTTCTTTCTCACTAAGATCTTTTTAAAACTATCGGTTGTGGTTATTTTACAAGATCATTAGTGTTAAGAATAAGAATAACACGAAGAAGATATTTGTGTTTAATATGGTGCTCTCTATTTATGCACGTAAGGAGGAAGGATTTTCTTCAACAGAGCAGTGATATTTCCTCATGTAGTTGGGAAATCTCGATAGCTATCATTGGCTATCATGGGAAATCTTAGCTGTTATAATGCCCCCACAAGATGGTGCTCATGTCAAGGATGTCAATCTTGGATCGATGCGATGAAAATAGTTTGCGGGCAATAGGCTTCATGAGTGAGTCTGCTAGTTGATCAACCGTATGTACGTGAGAAATACGTAGTTAATGTTTGACAACTTGTTCTCACACGAAGTGAAAGTCGATAGCTATGTGTTTCATGTGTGAGTAGAATACTGGATTGGCGCATAGGTAAGTGGCTTCAACATTATCACAATATATTGTAGGAGTAGAAGTGGAGTTGATATCAAGTTCTTTGAGTAGATTTGTGACCCAATTGAGTTATGCAGTAGCGGTTGCAATAACACGGTATTCAGTTTCAGTTATAGATTATGCAATTGTCTTTTGCTTCTTAGAACTCCAACTGATTGGATTAGCTCTAAAAAAGATAATATACCCCGATGTGGATGTTATGTCATCAAAATTTTCTACCTAATTAGCATCAACAAAAACATGGAGATGAAGGGGGGAGTGTTTGCGGAAAAAGAGGCCATAATTGAGGGTCCTGTGAAGATATCATAAGATTCTTTTAACTGCAAACCAATGCATAGTAGATGACCGATGCATTAATTATGATAATTTATTGACTGCAAATGAGATATCTGGGTGGGTGAGAGATAAGTATTGTAAGGAGCCAAGTACTTATCGGTATTGAGTTGAGTCCGTAGCAGGGCTTCCATCACATATTTTGAGTGCCTCACCAATAGATAGAGAAGTTGTAACCGCTTTTGCATCTTGCATGTTCATCTTTGATAATAGATCTTGAATATACTTTCTTTATGATAGAAAGAATCCTAAAGACGTGTATGTTGCTTCCACTCCCAAAAAATAACTCAAGGTCCCTAGATCTTTAAGAGAGAATCGATCTGCTAAATGCTTGAGAAATGCCTTGATTTTCATAGGATTGTTGCCCGTGACAATAATATCATCCTTATATACTAGAAGATATATTATGTTACCACTTTGGTGATGGAAAAATAGCAAGGTATTAGACTTAGAGTTGATGAAGCCAGTTGATGTAAAAAATAAGCCAAGTTCGGTGTACCAAGCTCTTAGAGCTTGACGAAGTCCATAAATAGCTTTTTTAGTTTATAAACATGCTTGAGATACTGAGGGTGGATGAAGCCAATTGATGTAAAAAATGAGCCAAGTTCGATGTACCAAGCTCTTAGAGCTTGATGAAGTCCATAAATAGCTTTTTGTAGTTTACAAATATGTCTTGGATATTGAGGGTAGATGAAGCTAGGTGATTTTTGCATAAAGACATCATTAGTTAGGGTCCCCAGTAAAAAGGCATTGCTAACATCGATTTGTCATAAATGACAACCTTTTGAGATAGCCAAACTCAGAATAAGTCGAATTGTTGTGGGTTTAACAACATGACTAAATGTCTCTATAAAGTCAATACTAGGATGGTAAAACCCTTTGGTCACTAGACGCGCTTTATATCTAGCAATGGATCTATCTGGGTTCTGCTTAATTCGAAAGACCCACTTACACCCGAAGATATTTTGTGTGGGATGAGAGGGTACAAGAGTCCATGTAGAATTATAGAGGAGAGCATCATATTCTTCACACATGACTTTGCACTAGTATGAAGATTTTTGGGCTTGAGTAATTGTGGTAGATTCATTGGTTTTTGACGAGAATTTTATGATAGCATATAGGTCAAAGACTTATCGTGGTTTAAAGATACCACTTTTGGAGTGTGTTGTCATTAGATGTCCAGAGGTTATAGGGTGTGTTGTAGGTATGGGCGGTAGAGAGGCACTGACACGGGTTGGGGTAGGCTAAGGGACTTCAGTATTATTGGTCCCAAGAGAGGATAAAGGTAGTGGTTGTGTTTCCGAGGACATTACGTTAATAGTAGAGGAACCTTGTGAAGAAGGGAGAGGAGCAATGGAGGGGCTGAGGAGCTATTGAACCGGGAGAAGAAGAGAGTGTGGATCTAGAGGAGAAGGACTGGATGGTGTTGTGGGAGACTCGGGTGATGGGATCGGCGGTGTCCTCCAGTGATGTATATTTGTTAGAGTAGGTCGCACAATAGGAGACTAAGGGCTTTGAAACAGAAAGATAGTCTCTATAAAAATAATATGATGGGATGTAAATACTTTTTGAGATTGGGGTTCGTAGCATCGAAAGGCTGTTCAAGAGAGTATCTAATGAAAACGTAAGGTTTATATTTTGATGTTATCTTATATGAGGTATAGGGATGGAGTTATGTATAACATAAACAGCCGAACACTTTGAGTTTTTAAAGGTTTGGGGATTTGTGAAATAGTTTTTCAAATGGTGACTCATATTGAAGGACTAGAGTGAGCAAACGATTAATGAGGTAGACGGTAGCTTGAAACGCTATAGTCCAAAAAGTTGATGGCATGGAGGCTTGATGTAGAAGTATGAGACCAGTTTCAACTATATGTTGATGTTTGCATTCAGTAGAGCCAATAAGTTGAGAAGTATGTGAGGGTGACTTAAGGTGTTATATACCATAAGCAAAGAGGAAGGATGTGAGGGCTTGACCACCATCAGAGTAAACTGTTTTAATTGTAGACTAAAAGAAGTTCTCGACCAATATTCTAAAGTTGGTAAAGATTGTTAAAACATCAGATTTATGGTGGGGAGGGTATAACCATGTGTACTTGGTGAAATAGTCTACGAAAATAATATAAAATTT